TTAGCGCAGAATGCATTTTGTGTCACATGGCAGGGAATCGCTGTGCATCTTTACTGCAGTCATCATATAACTGCTCCCTCATCGAAATACATTTCTTCCTTCTCTACACACAATATTATAAATTGTTTATAATTCGTGTAACATTAAAATTTTCTGTTGCGTAGATGTCTTCTGCAAGACTTTCCTCTGCCCCCCTTAAACTTAAGAAAGAATGGAGTTAGATTAATTTATTAAAAGAGCAAACAAGCAGGTGTTTCTGAGGATGTTTATCTTTACACATAGTCTAAATTTAAGTTTATCTTGAGAGTTACTTGTCACTAAAAGCAATGTTTTAGCATTACTGGTAGTATTATTATTATGATGTTGATATTATTATTGTGGTATTACTGCTTTAATCATCATTAAAGCAATTTTTTTTTTGAAACAAAAAACCCCTCACCCCTCTAGCTCCACGTCTCTTTCTTTACAGGTTGTACAAACTGCTTCCATAGTAAAATGAAAAAACAAAAAACCATTGTCATGACAACAGCTAAACAGAACAATTAAGACAACAGGTAAGCTTGTCTGATTTTCATATTTTCATTCTGTATCACAAGCAGGAGCAAAAATCTTCCAACCTCATACTTGAAACTGTAGAGAGCACCTTAGTTTTGTATTTTCTCTCTCTTTCCATGTTATTATTCTTTGAGGCTAACAGGAAAGAGAGCAAGACTGACAGATTATCATCTGAACATTTAATAGGCTGAGTGAAAACTCTAATTTTCAAAAGACCAAAATATTTTCTTTTTGCAAAAATAGAAAAACCACTTTTGGTTAGACAGGAGTCTTCCTAGACTGAAGCTGGAAGACTTTCACCTGGTGATTGGCTCCATGGATAAATTTACCTCAGGCCCCGTTGCAAGTGTAGCTTGGCATTAGAATAACTAAAGCAAGAGCTATTCACAACAACATTAACGAAACACTTACAGATATATCTTTATTTTGTTATTTAATGTTCCCTTTTTGAAATGTGGCAAATGATCTTTAACAGATAATTGGAATAGAATACTGCAATTCAGCCCAGATATTGCAAGCTTCAGACCATATGCAAAAAAGGGGCAGCAAACGCTGATACTCCTATCCTTTCTTGTTCTGATCTCAATTTGGCTGGATTTTCTCTTTTGTATGTGTGTCTTCATAGCCTACCTCTTGTACTTTTATTTCCTGTAGATCTGATAGACAATTTTTAGAAGAAGCAACCAGCAATCACACTAGAAATGGCCTCTGTGATTGTCTTCCATTATGATTTCTTCCATTTTTTCTTCCATTAAAATACCTAATCATTTTTGAGCTTTTAAACTTGGCTTTCAATAATGCCTTGTAGCTGAAATTATATGACAAGACAAAACAACTTTTTATTTTGAGGCTGCTCCAGCTGCTTTCATCTGATGCCTGTTCTTATATTAGAAGAAGCAGTGAAAAATCGTTCCCTACTCTCTTTATCTATGCTGGTCGCGATGCCCCTCTTTTCCTGGCTAAAGACTCCTACTTTATATAATCATTCCATACATTTAGTAATCCTGTTTCCATAATTCCTTTAGAGTTGTAAACTAAAATGACCTAAAGCAGTCTAAAAGCAACTTTGGTTAAGCTTTTGCAACTTTGTGCATAGAGAAGCGCTTAGAATGTCTGAAGCAAATATTTGAGCCTCACGATGTATAAATACCTGAGTAATGCACAACTCGAGAATAACTTAATGAAAGCAGAACGCTTGATACTTTCTGTTCTGAAGCATCCTTTGATGTTTCCTTAGGTAGAGAACAACAGCAAGTGCTAGATCATTTTAAATGGTACCACAGCCTATCTTGTCTCCTCCCTCTAAAAGGAAAGAGCAGAACCAAGCTTTTTTATTCAAATTTCTTAGAAGGGGTTCTGATGTGATGCTAAGATTTAATTGAGCCAAAAAACTCCTTTTTTGGACATGGAATCAATATATCTCAACTAATGAAGAATCATTGAGAACTTCCTTTTAATACTGATGTTCTCTCATTATACCGTAATGGCTACCGGTTGCCAAAAGTTAAATTATGAGAGTACGTGGCTCTTGGATTCCATGAAAGGCATGGAATGTAAAGTGTAAACAGATATATTGTGCATTAAATAAATGATATAGTGTGGTGAATTAGAATTAAGTGCTTCGGAATATAAGGGAAACGTGGTAAACGTGCTTTAACGATGGGGCCTTACGGCCTCAAGGGAAGGTCAGTCAATAGCTGGAGGGCAGAAAGAGGCAGCAATTCCAATCTTCAGGATTTGAGAAACCACATTTGACACGTACAGCAAACGCTGTATTACCACACCTTGTGACCCAAGGGGTGACAAAACGCTTCTTAAAACCTGGCGAGCAGAACCTCGGGGAAATCGTTTTGCCGGTGACCCAGGCAGCAAGGAGGCCGCGCTCCGCAGGTGCCGGAGCCAGACCGTGACGGCACAGGCGCGGGTCCGGGCTGCTGTGCATCGAGCGATTTACCGGGCTCGCGTAGCTCCCGGCTGGCCCCCGCGCTGCT